GTGTTGTGTGTGCAAGCCTCGGCCCTACTAAGCCGAGTCATGGGTTGAACAGGGTTAAAATGCGTTTGAGATTATGAGGATTTTCATGTAATCTGTTGTGGGACATTTTGACTGTTTCCCCCTTGATAAAATAAAAACCAGGTATTCTCTCTGCCAAAAGGAAGTGAGGGTACATTAAACCAAAATGTTGATGTACTGCATTTACACATCCTCCTCGTTCAGTGTTTTGTTTATCACCAACATAATGGGACATTGTCTATCCGAGGGCAGCACAAAATATCGTTTCAGCAAGGCAAAGGTTCTCGGATAGTTTGTTGTTAGTGAGTGACATTCAGTCTCTGCATGCACACCACATCCCCAATCGCATCCATTCTTTATTTTTTAAAGATAATCTGGCTTTTTTTTCAGAATGTAATGCTAGTATAACTGAATATCTAGAAAAGGGGAAGAGAGGGGGGATGACATGCATGGATCCCACGCTCTACCAGGACACTCCAATTGCAATCATTATAAATTAATATATTATTTATTTGTAACCCAACTGATTTTTTTTTATACAAAGAGGTATCTAAGTGGTTAAATATATGTATACATGTATATATTTTTTCTTACTACATGATGGTAAGCATTTCATTCTACCCAAGATGACCCTGTCTGTTTTCAGATTATTTGTTAAAAAAAAGGAAAAACAATAGAAAGAAAGTATAAAAAAAAAAACTAAAAATAATGAATGTATTAAAACTACTAAATCAGTTGGCGCATATTTGAAACCCCAATCTAAAAATGGGCGAGGAACAGGATAAAAATACTGAAGAGATATGTGGTCAAAACAAATGTTGTCAGTTTGGAAATATTTGAGCTGAGGAAAGGATGATGTTTATTTTCAACAGACATCATCTGTAAATCTTGTATTTAATCATATTATTATATATCTTGCTGAAAATACAATATTGCCTTGTCAGTTTTATTCCCAATATTGTACAGCTATAGTGTCTCCCTTAAGTCATGTTTCTTCCACATGACGGTCAACTCTTTCAAAACGATACACAAGTCAAAAGAAGGCCACAACTACATGTGGTACTGTAGCATGAATAGAGCCGTGTCTCTCTCAGCCTCCGAGGCTACGGGACTTGGAAGTTTTCCCAGAGTCAAGGTTGTATGTAGCTCTCCCCCTCAGAGCCATCAGGCCTCGTGTACACACTCCACACTGAGCCTGTGTCTTGGTGAGAGGCTGTGTGTATGTTGGAGTGGTCAGGCTCTGAGGAAGAACAGGGACGTTTTGATGTTTAACTTAAATAGATTAGCTTTCGCTCTCCCGATGCTGCCATCTGACGATTAGCACTGCAGGCCAAGGCTTGCATTCTTTTAATTTGAAGGGCCTGTGCTAGCAAGATAACCTAGACTTTTGCCACTATCTGTACCACATCAACTCATCTATCGTGGGATAGTTAGAGATTATTAGAAAGCAAATGTAGGCAACCGTGCCAAGTTCACACCGGGGAGTGGCAAAGTGCTGCCTGCAACAAGCTACACTATATATAGACAAAAGTATTGGCCCACTCCTCTTAGCCCGGACCTCAACCCCATTGAACACCTTTGGGATGAACTAGAACGGAGATTGCGAGCCAGGCCCTGTCGTCCAACATCAGTGTCTGACCTCACAAATGCTCTTTGGAAGCTGTTATAGCTGCAAAGGAAGGACCAACTTCATATTAATGCCTAAGAATTTGGAATGGGATGTCATAAAAGCTCCTGTAGGTGTAATGTGTAGGTGGCCTAATAATTTTGTCTCTATAGTGTACCATGAACTGTCTATAGCAGCAGTTCCTAACCTGTGGTCCGCGGCCCACGCATTGCAAGTGGGCCGCCAAATAATTTGCAAAACATTATGATTTGTGTGGAAACACACATTTTCTTTTTATTTGAACCTCTTTTCCTTTCTCTCTCTTGATCCTCCTTAGCAACGGTCATTACAGTCCTTGACAGCGGACAAACTCATTAGCTCTGCAGCTGTTAAGCATTTATGCGCAATACAAGGATCTTTGCATGTTGACTCTGCTCATTGACATTGTTTTATGCTCAAGGCGCAATTAAACAGTGACATTTGGATCTCCCTGAGTAATACAACATAAGGCCACATGAAAGTGTTTAACGTATAGAGATGGTTTGGATGGTATGAAAATGATATAACTCAGCCACTTTGATCTACATACTTGTCATTATTCACAATTAAAGGTCATTTTAGGACAAGTACAACGTGCTTAGAGGTCAAGCTGCTTATTGCAGTGAGACAATAGTCAAACTGGGAGAAAGGGAGTGTCTTTCTGTGACCTTCTCAAAACTCAGATTCCCTTCACCAGGAACTAACTTATTGCACATAGCTCAGACAATAGAGGTTTCATCATAGGGGAATTCCTCTATGGTTTAACACTTTCCAGGAAAAGGATTATACCCTCATGACAGGATGATGGATCGACTGATCAGAAAGTAGATCAAAATTGTCTAAATAAAAATGGTTACTCAAATGTTTATAGAAATGTAATAAACTTTAAAAATGCCTGTTTATAATAAGGGTAAACAAGTATATAACCCTGTTCACAACCCACAACTTTTCCCAGAAAACAAGTCTTGTGATGAATGTTGAACTTTGATGTCAAAACAAAACTGACGTCTGCATGTATAAAATAACAGTAACGTGTAGGTTTATAAACATGTTTTCAGTTGATTTATATTCTGAGAGCCGTACGAGCCAAAAGTACAGTGACATTTCATGTTGTTGTAGGCGGGGGGGGTGACTCACTGTCACCATGTGTTTTCACTTTTCTCTGAGGCATTAACATAGCTAACATTTCTCATTACCACAAAGGGGTAAGGCCAAACTCTGAATGCAGTCTCGTTGAGTTGTGTTATTCTGTGTCTGCAGGGCGCAGATTTCCATCAGTTCTTTAAGGTGATTGTGGATACAGTATACAACTAAAATGCACCTTACAGCTTATCAACCAATGGTTTTATTGCATAAGACTGTTGTGTATGTGCAATCCTCTGCAAATAGTCCGAAATGTTTGGAAAAGTGCATTATTGAATGTGTCTAATCTAATATAAACAGAGATTCACAACATTCGTTACAAAAATAAAATATAAAAGACTGTTTTTCTTTTGTTTGCACATTTATATATATTTACTTATCTGGCTCTAAATCAACAACAAACGACCCCTTTAGCACCCTTGCATGAATTGACCTCGTAGACTGGGGGCTAGTTTTGTCCAAATAGCTTTATTCTATTTTAACTTCCCAAGGCTCAAACCTTAGGAATCTGAGAAAATACAGTGTTGATAAAGTTAGCTACAGTGTGCTGTTAGGTCAGTGTGAGTAGAGCAGCTCTGACAAAAGACTCTTTTCTTCATGAGAGACACACGGATCTACATTTCCCAGGTGGAGACACAGGAATGTTTTCTGCAAGAGTTTCTCAGTACAGTTTTGCATCAGCCACACTGTAACCTTGTGAATATTGATTGAGCCTCTTTTAATAAAACTGTATTCAAAGTGATTTTGATGAAATCAGATGGTATGAGTCCCTTACGTATAGTTATATTAATACCTACTTTTGAGGCATGTTGTGTGACACCAACAAATATTGTCCTTGTTTATTAATTATCCTGTCATCCTGCTTTTTGATGATGTCTTTGAAGGTCAGTGTGTAACTACGCACAGAGAGCCATTGTCGCAGCCCCTTGTCGCTCGTGTATCAGAACGGACCCATAAAACTGAACCTGAATGCACCTGACTCACAGCTGGCTGCTTTATTTTATCCTGTATTCTGTCTGTGTTATATTTGAGCTATGCCTTCGACACAAATAAAGATTTATGGCCTCTACGGAGATGCAAAAAATCGTTAACAAATAAATATTTATGAACGAACATCAGTGTTATCGATTAGCACAAGCACAATTCGACTACGACATCTGTTTTGCACATTATGTGGCATCTGTTTGTCCCAGAACTTTCCTCGTTCATATAAGCGTTAATACTTAGCTTTCTTTCCCAGCTAAAAGTGACTGTGCAGTCATAGTGCAGAACAGAAGTACAGGCAGGGGTCGAACAAGGTCGTCATTTTGCTATGCCGAAGGAGACATCCCAGAATCAGTGGGGATTTCAAAAAGCTCCCCTTCAGCTAGTTTGAACTGTTTTTCATTATGTATCTGATGTAAGCCAAACAGGCTTATGCAATAATGGCAATATTTTCTTGAAACTGTATGCCGGTGAAAAACACGCTCTGTGTATTTTCTTTCTGAAATAACAGGAAAGGTTTTGCACACTGGGCCTGAGCTGGAAGCAAGCTGACGCAACAGTGGGAGTAGCACTTCAGTGGTTGCTGTTTTGCATCTTAAGGGTGCCCTTTTGAATATTTGAGTGAACAAACTAAAGTTATTTTTACATTCAGCATTTCCTCCCTTATTTGCAAAGCCTATTTTATTAAAAGTTTGAAACCTACATCGTTTCCATACATGTTTATCTGGAAACAATTATAATATTTTCCTGCCTTTACTGGCACGTGTCTGCATATTTTTGGCAGGAGCTAATATGCATGCACAGATTTAATATTACTACTGGTGAACATGTCATACCACCAAATGTAAAAAAAAAGAAAAGAGCTATCGTTTTAAAATATGTTCGCATAACACAACATCAGGAACTTGAACTGAAAAAAAAATGTGCAGTCACGAATATAATTCATTTTGCTGTGTATATTATTTTGTACTAGGTGTATACAGTAAGCTGTTTCCTTATGTGGCTGTTTGTATTCTAGCTATTCTCTCAAAAATAATAAACACGCATGTAAAAATAAAAACATGTTCACATTTCGTTGAACATATTTCCTCGGTTCCCTGGTTATTCATCTCAGCACCCGTCGATGTTTAAAATGTGAGCGAAGCAATTCCTGTAAGCCCCCGCAATCTTGAG